ACAGCACCTCAGACTGAGGAAGTCTCTTGGATGAGAGACGAAACGTTTCTAGAATTTTTTTTTGCTTTGTTTTGCTTTTGTTTTTTTGAATGTCCAGAGGACCAGATTGAACTTTTTTGAACTTAAAAACTACAACTTCACAGTTTAAGAGTAAATGCACTGAGGGCAACCTTATCAGCCCCACAAATGTCAGAGTTGATCCAGCCCAGAGGCAAACCTATTCCTTCTCTTTACTAAATATAGAAGTCAACTAAAATTCCTCCAGCATGCTGGTGAAGAAGCAGCTTTTCACTGCTGCAGGTCTTTGTGGACAGAAGCATGGCTTGTGGGGGGAGGGGAGAGTATCCTACCCTTTGGCCTTTGATACGCCCCGCTCTAGTTACAGTACTGGCCTTCGACTGGTAGCCCAGCGTGCCACTGAAGCCACTCGGAGGGTGAAAGAGTTAAAGTAAAAAGGTCAAGAGTCTTCAGTCAGGGTAAATAAAGACCATGAAGACTTTTACACTCATCTGGAAAAAAATTATTTTCTAAGACTTAACCTCATATTTTAAAACATAACCTTGTAAAGTTCCAAAAATCCCTTTTCAAACAAATATTGTGCTTTGATTTTAATCAGTGCAAACCTTGGAAGATGAACAAATGAGAGAGAAATTAAAGCAAAATATATAATTTTAATGCATACCTGCAGTGGAGACAGGAGGCTGGGCGGGGTAGTGTCCAGGTCCAGCAGTGGTGGGGTAAGCGTTTCCTCCTGGGTACTGGTAAGCTGGGTAACCTCTGAAAATAAAAATGTGAAAAAATTGCCCAACTTCTGAAAAACATTTTGCAAAAGGCATAAACATGCATTATTTCTGGATACTTTCAAGATACAGATGATAAACTTTTTGTGAAATACATCCATAATGTTCCTTATTCCTTGAACAGGGAGCACTGGGAATATATCTTCTCTAATCTTTAAACAGTACGTCATCAAATTATTAATGATTTGTGTGTTTCTGTGTGTGTGTGATGAGGGAGAGGGTGGAGAACTGTGAGGCACATCTCTTACCCAGGGTTAGCATTGGGACCGTAGGGTGAGACTGCAGGCATGCCAGGCATATAGGAGGCTTAGGAGAGATAAAAAAAAAAAAAAAAAACAGAATAATCTTTACAGATATTTAAAAATATGTGCAATTTTTGTCAGTGGTCTAACACACACAAGTTTATTGTTGATTTGGTGATTTGTTAGTTTAATAGGTCAGCTCCACCTAGTGCTGAAGAAGATTAATGCATCACTTAAAATATAAAGTTTATGTGTAGCAGAACTGTAAACTAAACTTTTCATAATATAACAACAAAAGAAAGCCAACTGGAGTTCTACAACTGAGGTAAAAAATTTATCTTTGGCCTTTCAAAACACAGACCTGAACTGATCAAGTCTCATTCTACTGTAGTATTATATATACTTTGTCTTGGTATATGTTAAAATACCTGCACTCTGCATCTTGAAGTTTATAATTAAAGCACTGGTCGCTAAAATCACCATATTTACAGAAATAAATGCATCTCACTCACAATTAGGGGGTCCAGCTGCTTGATAGTTGGGAAAGGAGCCTTGAGTGGTAGGGCGGGAAAACACCGGGGGCTCCTCTCCAAACACAACGATCATCACCTGAATCAGGCCATACAGGTCCGACTGAGGCTGTAAAGAAAACAGTAAAGGCCAAATTATACTAAACTCATCAAGAAAAGACCAAACATAATAATAACAAGAACAATTGGGACATATTTGTGATTCTTATCAAAGTTCCGTTTTGTCCCCATTAGTAGTCAGAAAAACATTATGTTCATGTAAGATGACTGGGTCCAGAGCTGAGCGAGTCCGTCTGCTCACAGAATGTTGCCCTCTCTCTTTTCAAGACGACAGTGTTCATTTGCATCTGATATTAACAGGTGCACTGAGCAACACAACCTCAAGTAACCACAGATCTCTGTTCCCCAGAATACATCCAGTACAAAATCAAACAAATAAGTGTCCTGAACAATTATTAGTACAGCTTAACATACTTGCATGTTCAATGTTTGTCTTGGTTACCCTGAATTAAACATGGATTATTTAGAAAATACGTAAACTGTGTGGTAGAAGAGGTCTGTGTGCAGACAAACTCAAGCGTTTAAGCTCTGTACATTTTTTTATGCTGATAGTGTTGTGAATCAAAGTAAAAAATAAAATAAAGCCTGATATGCTCAAAAAGTTTAATACTTTTAATACATCTATGGGACGTGTGTACTAAGTTCTTATATGCCACACCTGAAACACTTGCTTTGACAAATAGAAATGAACAATTAGGTTCTAAACAAATAAGGCCATGAATAAACGGTGACTCTGTGGATCTGTAAGACAGCTTTGATGCTGTGCTAAAAACAGTTTAGATTAATTAAACAGCAGAAATTAACATAAATTAAAAACAGGTTTTCTGTGACACTAAATTATTTCGGAATAAAATCCTCAGTTGTATGCTACTACCAAGTATCAATTGTGATCTATGCAGACATAGCTTAAAAAAAAAAAAAAAAAAAACTATGAAAATACCTGAAACTAACAGATCTTCCATACTTACATGTTTCCACTCATGTAGGTAAGGCAAATAAATTTTGCCATTAGCATCAATGTGCTTGCCAGTTTTAATCATCATGGTACTGGTTGGTTTAACAAAACATATAGGAGGGTTGTAGGGGTATGTGTCCAGCAGCCACAAACACACTGGGATGTTGTAGACATTACCTACAAAACATACACACAGTCCTGTATGACTTTTTTTAATCGTCTCACTTGACAAGTGGTATGTTATAGTCAGACATTTTTAGGAGTTGTGATTAAATGCACAAGGAACATGTTGATAAAATGCAGAGCAAATGAGTTATTTCTTTATTAAAAATAACCAAAAAAACAAAATGCTGTAACAAATCACATGGTGCCATAGTGTTGGTCTCCAAATCAAATGAAACCAGTTATCTAAACCACTGCTTTGATGACTGGCTCAAAAGACAAATGAGCAAGAGTAACTTTTTTTTTTTTTTTTAGCTTGGAGGGGAACAACATACTTTGCTCATTTCCTCTCCAAGCTGGATCAGTAATTACTGTACTAGGACCTTAATTTATCTTTACAATAGTCATGTTGCATCATGCTAACATTCCTAACAAGTTAATAAAAAATCCAATGCCAATTGAATATTAAAAGTAAACCTATTTAAATTATAATAAATAAAAAAAATTAAGTTGTGGGTGGCACCGTTGGTAGAGCTGTCGCTTCTCAGCAAGAAGGTTGCCGGCGCAAATCCCGACCCAGGACCTTTCCGGGTGTGGTTTGCATGTTCTTTCCATGCATGCGTGGGCCAGCGCGCAACAAGACGTGTCTCCATCTCCCCCCGCCATCGATAAAAAATGAGATGAGCGCCAAGGCAAGTAATCCAGGGAAAATACTGAGTTTTATTAGTTTTAGGACTTCATTGGATTGCTTTTTTGTTGTCCTGTAAGTGTAACGTTAATGTTATGTAAACTGTACGTAAAGTCATGTTGCAGTCTCTCCCTTCAATCATACTTTTTTTACACAATTAATTTGCTGAAGTGAAAGGAGTATATAAAAATTGAAGCAGTACCAGTACTTATGAATAGCTATTATTATGTTTTAAATCATTGTTACCTCTGTAGCTCACAGGGACAGTCCCTGTCAAACTCATCAAGTCTCTCGAAGAGCCATCGTTAAAGACTGTAACACAAAAAGTGCATTTTACCATTAATGGGTAAACAAAGTAAAAAAAATGTTAAAAACCACAAGAGCTGGTGTGATTCAGTTTACCATAAGCATCCATAACAGGTTTCAGATCCTTGTATTGGGAGATGACATTAGTTAATTCTCGAACAGTCAAATCTCTATATTTGTATTGCTAGACGACACAAATGAAAGAAGTAGAGATAAAAACATGTTAATATAATTGAAGCGAGACAACACTTTTGTTATAATTAAAGCCCCCAAAAATAAATAACTGCACTGTTATGCATGTCATGTTCAGTAATAGTACATTTTGGCATATGAAATATGAGGTCTATATCTGTAAAGTTTCCCAAAATGAAAAACAATGAGGCAAAAATAAACAGTACTGTCATTCATTATTATGGAATCATAAGTACAGTACACAGATATGGGTGTGACATAAGCTTTAAAACAATGTGACGTCGGCTTTTTAAATAACACAGAATTTAGTTTCGGGTATCTCATTAAAATATCCTATAATTAAGCCTCTACAGCAAATTCGAAAGTTTAATAATCAAACCTCTGTGGAATATCTTTAAAAAGCTGTTTCTTCGAACAGCTAATGAGGAAATGCTAACCTAGAACCTATCGGATAACATAGCTAAACTACGACGACCAGAAAAGAACTAGTTTTACCTTTAGCATTTTCTTCAGCATGCCTTCGTTGACTACTGCCATGTTTCTCAGAAGTCTATTCTCGTTAGACTTTGAAGTGGCTGAAAAGCTGTTTTTAAGCCTGCTGAAGTGAAGCCGAACACAAAAAGACGGCGCTAGTTAGTACGACTCAGAATGCTAGGCTAACGAGGCTAGTCCAGCCTCGAGTCAACAAGACAGCGATTCAAATACTTTAGAAACCTTCCAGTTCACTATAGGTAATATATATGCGTTACACGTAATTATCAGACAAATTAGTTGTCAAAATAAAAAAGGAAAGAACGGGAAATGCACAGTTCAACAACGCGACAGAAAATAGTATCCAATGATCAACAAAGCAACTTCCGGGAGTGCTGTAAACTACTTCCGGTTAGTGTCCGCTAACGTTTAAGATTTATTTATTTAATTATTTATTCAAATGTATTCAACTAGTACATGCTGCAGGCCTTCTTAATTCAGAAAAGGAAGTTATTTCCTGAATGTCACCAAGACAGGACTTATGACTTCTCTTGTATAGTTTTATAATACAGCTTGTACTGTTTCATTTTTATATACTTTCTTTAATTTACTTTTCATTTTATATGATTGTCTATTTTGTTGTCTGTACCTCATCTGTGTTCTTTGTTTCAAACAGGTCCCTCTTGTAAATGAGTCCTCGTGACTCAGTATAAATAAAGGCTGAATGAATGAATATCTTAAAAATCTGGGCTAGATAAAGCAAACTAGAGGTGCACAAAGTCTGACCTGATTTTGTTTTATAGGCGACACTGTCAGGTGTTATAAGGTCACAATGCACCTTCAAATTTTCAATCTTATTTTGTTGAAAAACACACCCTTGATCAAAATCCTTGAACAATACAAACTTGTTTTAACTGACCATGAGGTAGTGCTCTGAAATATAAAGGAAGTTCAGACAATTGTTGTTAAAACTAAGTTTGAAAAACAAAAAAACCTGTAAAATCGGTTTCTCGTGCAAATATCGTCCGATTTCCCAAAATTAAGGAAATTGGGGCCGATAAATCGGGCAGCCGATTTATCAGTGCACCCCAATGTAAACCACCACAAAACTGTGAAAACCTAAATAGGTACTGGGAAGCACGGTGGCACAACTGGTAGAGCTGCTGCCTACCAGTGAGCAGGTCCCTGGCCCAAATCCCAGTCCGGGTGCCCTTCTGGGTGGAGTTTGCATGTTCTCTCCGTGAATGCGTGGGTTTTCTCTGGGTGCTCCAGTTTCCTCCCACAGACCAAAAACATGCATGTTAGACTGACTGGTAACTCTAAATTGTCCCTAGGTGTGAGTGAGAGAGTGAATGGTTGTTTGTCTCGTTTGTCTCTATGTGTCCCTGTGATGGACTGGAGACCTGTCCAGGGTGTACCCCGCCCCTCACACAGTGATCGCTGGACATGGGCACCGGCGACCCCCGTGACCCAAAATGGAAGAAGCGGGTAAAAAGTAATGGATGGATGGATGGATAAGTAGGTACTGTGTTAAAGTACTAATAACGAGATTTATCTAAAGCGGGGGGCATCTGTTCCTGGTGTTCGAGGACCACTATCTTGCATGTTTTACTTGTTTCCCCGCTGCAACACACCTGATTCAATGGTTCAATTAACTAAAAATCCTGTTAATTACCAAATTCAATTCAGGTGTGTTAGAACAGAAAAAACATCTAGAACATGAAGTATAGTGGCCCGAGAGGAGTGGCTGTCCACTCTGGACAAGGTCTTCCTGTCACTGTCGGAAAGACTTTTATCATATTTTTAATCAAATCGTTCTCATTCTCTACTCATGGAAAATGAATCACAAAACAACATTTAAAGATTAAATCAAACTTTTATTTACACAATCTATATACAGTTGTTCAAATAATATTTGTAAAAATGAAAGGACAGTGGTATTTACAAACAAATCTGAATTTCACAAAAAGTTTTAATTTGTCATGACTTGGTATTTTAAGTCACATATCTCAAAATGATCTTGTTTGCATTTTATCCTTGAAAACTTGAGGTTTAAATTTCTCAATTTTATATAAAATATCTGAGACACTATGAACTACGAAAGCAAACAACTTACAATAATGTACACATTTTTCTTTACTTTTGCAAGTTTTGTACTTAGTTTGTCTACGTGCTGTTTTATTTAGAAATTTAAATCAATTTAAAAACTTTACTATTAGTTTGTGCGTGAAATATTTTAGTTGTGTACCTGGTTGTATCAGGTTTCTTGACTCAAAAGGTCAACACTGCAAAACTGTCCCAGTTCAAAATGTTTCATGAGCTGCTGTAAAGTGATTCAGGGTGGTTATGAAATGGTATATTTAAGAAGATAAAATCCTTTTTTTTTAATATAGTACATTTCTCACCAAATTATAACACAGGTTTTCATTTACACCGTTTGATATTTAAAAACAGTATAAAACTGAAAAACTAAGTGTTTTTTAATTATCAACCAGTCAACTTGTAAATCTAATTAGTGCATCTATAGGATAATACAACCAAGACAAATATATATACTGATTACTCAAAAGGTTAACAATTGGTTTCATTTTCTTTTTGGAAAGGTTGACCATCATCTCTGTCCACAGACAGAAAATAGTTGTCATCTGTTTGTCTGTGCTGCTGCCAGCCTAAAACAGAAGCAAGATATTTCCCATTAAATAACAAATATGTCAAAGGCATGGACAAAGTTCAACGCTCGATTAATGACTGATAAAAATGTACTTCAATTCATACTTGTCAAGTATCAAAGTTCATGCTGAATAATCTAGGTAAAAAGTCCAACAAAGTTGAATCAGGTCATCTGGACGGTTTCTTTCTTTCATTCTTTCTTTCTTTTTTTGTTGAAAGTTTCATCCAGAGGACTTCATCAGTCTGAGGAGCCACAACAAACTCAGTCCCACAAGCATCAGACTCACAAAATGCTAACCAGTTTGATGGTGACAAGATGGTTTCTGGGGCCTGTCGACTCCTCTCAGGCAGCCATAGCCAAAGTGGTTCAAAACATCAGCTGAGTTTGTTGAGGCTCCTTGGACTGATGAAGTACTTTAGATGAACAATGAAAAGTCTCCAAAAAAAAAAAGTCCAGATGACCTGACTTACCGTATTTTCTGGAGTATAAGTTGCATCAGTCAAAAAATGCATCATGAAGAGGACAAAAACATGAGTGGTTTCGGCGTATAAGTCACATTTAGTATGCATCACCGCTGACCTATCACGTTTATTATGCGTTTATTTGATGATCAAAACAGCTTCATTTCACGGGCGGCTTGTCGCCATCCATCCATCACGGCCGGAGCCGCTAGCTCTCCAGCGTTCCTCCGCCTGCACCAGCTGAGTGAAGCGAGCACACATGGGAGGACTCACTGTTGCAGTTCTTGGAAATTTCAAGCGTCAGGCAAAAATAGCATTATGAATATGGAAAAAAAAAAAAAGTGTGTAAGTCGCTTTGGCATATAGGTCATAGGACTGACAAATCTATGCAAGAAAACTGTGACTTATACGCTAGAAAATACGGTAATTATGTTGGATTATTTCCCCCCCCCCCCCGGATTATTGAGCATGAACTTGATGTTTTGAACCACTTTGGCTATAGTTGCCTCAGAGGAGTGGACGGGGGAGAGGGAGGACTCCAGAAACCATCTTATCACCATAAAACTGGTTGTTCCACTATGTGATTAAGCCACTTATGGGACTGAGTTTGTTGTGGCTCCCTGGACTGATGAAGTGCTTTGGATGAAGGACAAAACATCTCAACAACAACAACAAAAAAGAAAAGAAACCATCCAGATGACCTGACTGAACCTTGTTGCACTTATCAAGTATGTTTTTCTTGTTTTTTTTTATTATTAAATTTCCGCATGTCTTAACACCAGTTTGTATTCAGGGCATAGATGCGTTTACGACGTGTTTGTGCTACTTACACGAGGCTTGTTCATGTTCTGGCTGAGGTTTCATACACACCGGTGGAAACTCTCCAAACATGGCGGCCATTACTTGCAGCAGGCTCACTAAGTCACATTCTCCCTATAACACAGGAAGAAAAGTCCCAGTAGCATCACACTGCTATAAACCACTTCAGACTGTGCATATCAGTGGTAAACATTAACCAGCATGCTGTTTGGCGTCGTTGACATAACGCTGTTAAGAAGCATGTATTAGACATCGTTTCAGTGCTTACACTCTTCCATTCTTTTAAGTAAGGCAGCTGAATTTTCCCCTCGTTCGTGACATATTCTCCTTTGACAACCATCATCTCTCGAATGGGTTTCACATAGCAGATGGGAACAGACTGAGGGTAGTTGGGCTCAAGCCAAAGACATATGGGAATGTTGTAGGTCATGCCTTAAATGACAACAGAAAACAGAATTCCAGACAAAATTAAGAGTTACTTATGCATCAAACCTCAAAACTGAATAAAAATGCTTTGAATTGGTTTTGCACAGAACAGTGCAACTCCTGAAAATACCTGAAATCATGACAGGAATGGTCCCAGTAAGGCTCATCAAGTGTTTTATGGTTCCATCATTATAAACTGTACAAAAAACAATGACTGATCGTTGAATAAATACAGCATTAGAATGTGAGGTGTTGTTAAGTTACATACCATATTTGTCCATCACAGGAACAAGGTTTTTGAAGTAAATTAGTGCAACATAAATTTGATCAGCCACATATTTTCTAAGATACGCCTTTTAAAACACACAAAACAAGCAAAAACATGATAAAGGCTTTGAAATTTAAAACCTTAAATACAAAAGTCAAGCCACTAACCGTTTGCCGAGTCGGCGAAAATTGACTTTCCTAAGAACAGATGATTATCCTTACCTTGGGAAGCATTTTCGATATTGTATTCCTACTAAATGACATGGTTCTTAGTTTTTTCTGAAAAAGAAAATGGGAAAAAAGAGAATGCGGTCTGTTTTTAGAGCAGCAACACTCAGTACTCTTAAGTTTCTTTCCATCAGGACAATGTCCAACATTTTATAACTGTAGTGAGACACGTGAGGTACGTGTCACTTGTTGTATGACAAATATATGAATTATATATGCATACAATATTCACGAGTTCTTCATTTTTCTGACTGTAAATGCCGTGCATTGAATTTAACAGAAATGTGAACGAGAGACGTTATTTATCTTTGACCCATCAAATGAATGGAATCATTTATTTTCAAAATCAAAGTTTAACATCAAACATTTACATTAATTTGGCAAAATATGAAAATAATAACAGACAGTTTCACAGAAAATGAACTTCAAATCACTCGGCGGTGATTTGAGGACTTTGCTTCAGACATTTCTAAAAATATCTGTACTGATTTATGAGAGAGAGGTGAGTTTAAGAGTAAATTGAGATTTATCTTACAGAGGAATATGTGAGGGAGATTTAATCTGTTTAACCAGAAGTTGCACGCTCCGTCCGATCTCAGCTTCTCACGGTACACTTGGTCAAAATAGAACCATCTACCTGTTGACGATGAATCAGCGTTGGATGTAGTTCCTTTCTGACTCGTTTCAGCGTCTCCGTCGAGAGCTACCAAACCTTCAGAAAGTCGTGCGTTGATTAGCTCAAAACAGAATTATAATCCCCAAAAAACCTCTGGATTCTTCATTGCTCTGAAGCTTTCAGGACCGGCTGCACTCTCAATCTGCTCATTCTGTTGGACTATCGGACCTGTTGTCAGCTCTCAATCCAACATCTCTCAGAACTCTCAATCTAACTTGAACTGGGGAGTTGCCACATTTTATTTGGGTCGACTTCCTGTTCAATTTAGAGCTTTCTGATTCGTGGAAGGACCAGAAAGAGGAGTGGTTTTTGACGTAAGGTGTTTATCAACAGTCGAGGTCAGAGAATGAAACTTGTTTAACATACAGAAAAGATTATTGCAGAAGCAGCAGACTTTTTGGAGTCTACTCTTAGTAATCTTCTGAAAAAGTTTAAACATGACATTTCTTCTTCAGTAAACATTTTAGTTGACCGAAGACCAACCTTTCACATACTTACGACAGCTTGCTCATTTCAGACAGAAAAATCAAGAAAGGCATATTCAGGTGATTTCTGCTTTGAATGAGGAACAAAAATCATTACTTACTGTTTATGTAAAATAAAAATTAGTAGTTCTTTTCAACCTGTAAAGCATTGAGTGAACTAACACAATTTGATTATCAAAACATTTGTAAGACAGTAATGATTATAAAGAATTGTCTTTTCTGCTTGATTAATTCAAGAAAGAAAGTTCATCAGATGGTTCAGACTTATTCAGATCAATGAAAATAACAGTCTCTGTCCATCTGGTAGATTTGAGGTTATCTGGTTCACTACATAACCCTTAAAAACCAGGAAGAGAACAGTCCCATATTTAGCCACACTATCTGCCCTACAAAGAAAAAATACTATTTACTTTAACAGTAAGACTAGATAGGTTTTACATCTCTTTGGTAAAAATATTCTCAAAGTATAATATTAAAGTAGGTGATCACATACAGTAATTGTGACATGAAACGCATAATCACCAGCAGTAATGTTCTAATGACAGAATTGTTGTGAAACTTTACCATTTCCAGTTTCTTTATACATTTAATGGACTTATTGTAAATTGTACCTTATATTCATGATACTTTTTAAAATATATATTTTTTGAATTCATAATAATGTTCTAATGGGATCAATATTTTTGGTTTACAATTTTTCTTAACATTTGGCTTCTGAAATTGGCCAACATAAGCACACAGCTGGCTTATTTTTAAAACCATCATTTCAGTTTTGTTGTAAAATTAGTTTTTTAATTCACTGAAAATCTTTCTGAAATATACCCAACATATACAACATACTGGGATCACTTTATCCATGAGAATTATTTCCCACTTTTTAGACAAAAATAAGTTTTGATTTGATGTAAGGTATTCATGTTGTTCAATTTAACCTAAAATAATGTTCATGTGACACAGTTGATTGTAAAACAGTTTAACAATATTTAAGATGATCCTTTGAACCTTCATTAAAGGTTTTATGTTTTCCTGTCTGCTGTGCATGTTTGGTTCTTTTGTACAGCACTTTGGTTGGCCTTGTTGCTGTTTTAAGTGCTATATAAATAAATTGGTATGGTATGGTATTAAAGCTGCACCCAACCAGCATTAAACATTACCGGCGTAATACATAAAATGGCCTGTAGGTGGCAGCAAATCTAAAATTTGGTGTGGAAACAAGAAAAGTTGAGTGACTTCTTCAGCTCGACATCTTTATTATTTTTTTGTCCTGCAATACATTTGCCACATTTTCAAAGGGTAAATACATCTTAAATAGTGACACAGCTGACATTTTTACAAAATCCTTCCACACCTCTGCTCCACAGTTTCCAGGGTGGAGAAACAAACCATTACATCTTTGTGCAACCTCCTCCTTCTCTCTCCCCCCCCCCCCCCAGAGGTGCACAGTCTTTGTCATGTTGGCCAGGACTTCTGACATGTCTGTTTTCTGGTGGTTCACTGGCCAAGTATTGCAACAACATGCTGCTACTTTTCTAAAGCAGTGGGCGTTTGAATGCATAGGTTTGTGGACTTCTATATTGACATGAGTGTCCTGTTAAGGGATTGACAGAGAGGAAAAGTATACCACATCTGTAATTAAATTTCACAAAATCCAGCCCCCCCCCCCCCCCCCATTATAAATGTATGAGCACAAAAGGTTAAAAAATATAAAGAAAACACAGTCAAAGGTGGGGCCGATCATGAACCCCTTCATCGTTTCAGTCATTTTAAACACAAGGCTTCTTCCAAACAATATCTAAAGACTAAAACATATTCACAGTTTGTGGATTTTCTCCAAGCTGAGAAATAAAATGTTAACCAAGACGCAGGTTAAACACAGCGGTCCAATGTTTTCAGAGTCGTTACGGGAGTCATTTAAACTGTACAAAACCATGACGTGAAAACAGTCAGGCTGAAAGGACACGACAGCCGAACATCGGACGTCTGAGTTTAATTAAAACTGCCCGTATAAATGACCAGGTCAGTTCAACAGATCAACAATAAGCACAACCTGTGCTAAATGTACTCATTTAAAAAAAAAAAAAAACTTCCACTCCCTGCTCCAAGGAAATTTTGACAACTTGTTTTATACTGGCCTATGCTTTTATACGTATATTCTGTTTTTAACTAAATCCTATCCAGACAGATGCAATCAGAGAGCAAGCAAAATTAGATCAGTGTAGTGTTGTTTTTTTTACTCTGTACAGTGCACTCGTATTTTTCTGGTTGTGCACGTAAACAAAACAGCAAACATCATACGGGGTCAAGCTAGCTGCTAACATGAGGTACAGAATAGTTAAAAGATAAGGCAAAGTAAACACATCAATCATATTTAGGCAGCAAAGGAATTCATTAGTTACAGAGAGCGCGAGCCTCTGAATAATAAGGATTCAAGCAATGCACTCCTCCAACACATGATCCAGGACCTGCTGCAGACAATATTCCCCACATATACAGTAAATATGGTTTGAGAAGATTAGCACCTGACCTGTTATTGCTCCTTTAAAAGAGCTATAAGTGGAAAAAAAAATTAACAGCTTGAGGATAGAACGGTGTGTGCGGAAAAAAACTAACTAAGTTCTGAGGCAGGACGCGTGTTACCACTTTGCTAAACTCATGACATACCTTAACCGTAGTTGCCAGGAGTATTAGATTAGACTTTCCTGGGCCTTTTAATACCTGAGCCATACTATCCAAACCCTGCAGCCAAAAATAAAATATTATTACCATATAGTTGAACGGTACAGATACTGAAATAAACTCCAGTTCTCTTTCTCTAAAGCTGCAATGAGTCTCTGAGGCTTCATTAACAGCAATGATGACAACCATGCGTTCTTTTCCATCTGAAACCAAGGTGAAACCATAAATGAAGTTGTCAGAGAAGGTTTATTTCCAACACTTGGTGTAGTTAGGATAGCGGAGGTCTATTGCACCAGAACACTAGCCGTTGGAAATATTATTTAGCAAATAAAATTTCACAATGAAAAAGATCCGTAAAAAGTGAAGGTAGAAACTCATCTATCTCTGTTAGCCCCTTTTCAAAATATCTATTCCAGAAGAAACTTTAATTAACTCAAGGGAGATAAAAATGATTAAACCAGGTGCTTTTTAAAAATAAACATATTTATGTACTTGTAGTGATCAATGATTTTCAATTCTACCAGTCACAAGACAAAAAAAAAATCATACCAGAAACTAAATCAAATATTTTCTTTCTTTTTTTTTTTTTTACAGTTTAGGCTAATTGGTAAAGAGCAACAAAAAAAGATCCCATATCAGCTTCCACCCCCAGCATCTCCCAGGTCTGCAATGCCATTCGAGCAAACCCTGTGCATGTCGAATGGAGGTGGGTTATTTATGCGAGGTGAGAGAAAAACAAAATGTTTAATCCAGTCCTTTCCATGTAAATCAGTCAGTCCTTCCAGGTTCGAGGCAGGGGAAAGGGAATTGGGCTTCAAGGCAAGAGGGCGCAAGAGACACCCTCTTTACAACCAGTGTTGAGACTGAAAACAATAAGTTAGCAGGAAATGCGTGGAACAACCCAGCTTGATCGAGTCATTAGTGGTGTTGCTCACAGATCGATGTGGCCCAACATAAAAAAAAAAAAAGAAGAGACCAGCTCAGACCAGTTCAGCTTGCCACTTAGGAAACAGTCAAAAACTCCTCTTTTTCATTAGAGTCTATGCTTCAGTCAGCCGTGGTGGTTTCCTTGAGAGCTTTTGCTTCAATCGTCCTCTGTTTGACAAAGTTCAGGTTTCATCTTTAGGTTGTTTTTTTTCTGTCCGTCGTCGAATCCATGCTGCCACTTCGCGCTGGAGCATTTCTCCTCAACATGTAATGGAGAACTGGGGAAAAAAACAAGGTGGCACGCACATCGCTGCTTTTATTATTGTTTGTTAAGAAAGAGACGTCTTATTTTAAAATACCATCCACACCTGCTCACCTGCTTCACGACACCACACATCGACAGCTCATGCAGTCCTGACCGCTCTCGTCAGGTGGGTTCAGCTTCCTCAACTTATGTTGTCTTATCTCCCTTACAAGAGTGTAGAAAGCATCCTCTACTCCCTGGACAGAAAAATAAAATACAAAAAGATTTGGGCAAACGTCTCACCTGGTGAAATTACCATGGCAACCATTATCATTTCAGCCACCAGTTAATCGAGAACCCTTGATGACTAAAGATAAAGGAGATTAATTCAATGCACTTCCTTTGAGTGACAGAGGTTATGCAGGTACGAGTGTGTGCGTGTGCACATAATGTGACAGTGAGTCAGACAGTGGGAGCCATGCAGCAACTAGTCCTTATGGGGCCTTTTCAGTACTGTAGCTCTATTCTCAAGCCAAGGTAAGCGTGCTATGAGTCATTGCTTGAAGTATTATGAAAGATTCTTGACAATATAAATTACATCATACCACAGGACATGAACTGTGTTCTTTCTGTGCATGTATATGGCTGTGAAAAGTGAAAATGCAGCAGCCAAAACGAGTTCCGCAATAATTTGTATAACAGGATGATTTGTAACGAATAACATTTTTAAGGCTGTGTTTTGTGAAATTCAAAATACCTCTAGATTAACAGGATTTCAAATTCAGTAAGGTGATGCAGGCTTCGTGTGCTCCCCACTCACCTGCCGTGTTTTGGCAGAGGTTTCAATGTACGGGATCCCATAGGAGCGAGCCAACTCCTGGGCTTGCCTTGTGTCCACTGTGCGTGCTGGGAGGTCACATTTATTTCCCACAAGCACCATGGGTACATCATCAGAATCCTTCACACGCTTAATTTGTTCTCTGTGAATAAAAAAAAAAAAAAATTGCAATAGTTGAGATTTTATTTAGAACAAATTTGTCCTCCCCCCTCTAACTCATCTGAGCGCTGTAATTAGCCACAATGGCATGTCTTGTATGGGATCCTCCCAGTTCTGTAAACAATCACAGCATCTCTACTGGAGATCCAACCACCTGGGGAGCTCTAGGACCCAGAGGTAGAGCCAAAGCCCGTCTGTGCTGCACTGCTGAAGAAGGACGATGTGGAGACATGGGGGGAGGCGGAGGGATAGACAACAGCCGGGCAGCAAACAGCATTACCTCATCACTACAGCAGCAAGTGCCAAATAGCATGCAGACTGGGGGGAACGGAGTGAGAGGTGTGGGTCGGATCAGATCAGCTCTTCGTCTTGGTCAGCCACAGCAAAGCAGGACGTCTCTGCTGCTGTTAGCTCATGCTCAATCACTGCTTACAGTGAATAAGGCCTAACCCGAGGTTTGCCAGATTTAAATCTATGACTTATTATAGAACTGGTGCATTTACAACAAACACTAAGACCATTTGGATATAATCATATTTGTTAAATTTCATAGGTCACACATTGCATTGTCCTGTGAAAAGAGTAGGCTTAAACTGTACTTTTTTTTTTTTCTTCTTCCAATTTTCAACATGTTTATTTTTACACACATCTTTTAATAAACTGAGCAGTTCTAACTGGATGACCATGATCCTAACACTGTATATACTTTTACACAAAACATCCAGTTGAGTTTAAAGCCTGGTGTAAAACTGGCTGGACTGCAACTGAGCGAGTCAAACAAATGTTTGTTTCACACAAAAATATCAAAAACAACAAAAAAAATTGTACGAGTTATGCATCTCAGTGGCCTCTTCTATTTGTGACACAAAAGACTGGCAAACGATTGTCTAACGTGATGGGAAAGACAACATTTGGTGGAGATAAAGAGCCCTGTCATCTCCAGCTGAAACTCTCCACCCCCTTCTTTTCTCCTTCCCCGTCCTTGGTAGCACTACCTCCGCTTGCTCCTCTAATTGAGTCAGGATCCATTTCATTGGCATCGTGCTGCAAGCCTCCAGTTGGGAGCTAAGCTTTCTTTAGCCGTGTTAAACACTACAGCATGACATCACCCTACAACTGCAGAGAGCTGGCACACACACATATACATACCCCTCTCCTGCCAGACCACACATGAGTCCATTTAATACACCACATATCCACTGACACATGTAGAGGAGCAACAAGGAGCAGTATCAGTTGATTTTATGACTTGACTGCAGCCTAAACGATTCTCAAAATTTGTGTTTGTATATTTTCTTTAACACACCTGTACTGGTGAATGTCCTCAAAGGACTTGGTGTTGTTAATGGCAAAAACGCAGAGGAAGCCCTCCCCTGTTCTCATGTACTGATCCCGCATGGCGCTGTACTCCTCCTGACCTGCAGTGTCCAGAATATCCAACAGGCAGGTCTCCCCATCAATCACCACTTGTTTTCTGTATGAATCCTGCAGAAATAAACAGAGAGACTTTAAAAAGGAGAGACAAGAGTTGTAAAATAAAACATTCCTCAACAGAAAGAGGAGGAATTTGACGCAGCTCGTGGCACAACCCTGCTGAGGGCTCGGCCATTCACTAAAGGCTAAGCAGCGTGCACATCTAAAACACATGGCGACGTTTAACTGACCGTGTATTAACCTGCATTTGTTATTACGTAAGACACTGTCCACTTGTAGATCATATGAAAAACACGAGATCATAAGAGCCAAAGTTTGGCCTTCCAACATGCAGTAACAAAAACATGGAGTGCTGTCCCTTTGTTTGTTCGAGCACAGGGGCCAGGAATGCAAATACACAAAAAGGACATTGTCTGACCAGGGACAGGCGTGGTGAGAAAAAGAGGGACAGAGTGGAGACAGAAAGGCAGAAAAAGAGAGAAAAGAGGGAAAATTGCCACACTGGCCTTACTCTGCTCTTTGCATTGTTTTAGTTATTCTTTTTTTTTTTTAACAAAGCGTGAAGATAAGTCACCAAACATTTCATTAATTTAATAAAAAATGTGGTTTAGATTGAACTCTTATCACAGTAGGGGCTGCAAAATACAAACCGGATTCCAAAAAAGTTGGGACACTAAAATTGTGAATAAAAACTGAATGCAATGATGTGGAGATGGCAAATGTCAATATTTTATTTGTAATATAACATAGATGACAGATCAAAACTTTAATCTGAGTAAATGTAACATTTTAAAGGGAAAATATGTTGATTCAAAACTTCACAGTGTCAACAAACCCCAAAAAAGTTGGGACAAGTAGCAATAAATGGCTGGAAAAAGGAAATTGAGCATATAACGAACAGCTGGAAGATCAATTAACACTAATTAGATCAACTGACAAGATGATTGGGTATAAAAAGAGCTTCTCAGAGTGTCAGTGTCTCTCAGAAGCCAAGATGGGAAGAGGATCACCAATTCCACCATTGTTGTGTAGTGTGTCACGTGAGGTACGTGTCACTTGTTGTATGACAAATATATGGATATATATTTATGCATACTTTTCACGAGTTCTTCATCTTTCTGACTGTGTAATGCCGTGCATTGAATTTAAAGGAATGCGAACAAGAGACGTTATTACCTTTGACCCATCAAATGAATGGAATCATTTATTTTCAGAATCAAAGTTTAACATCAAACATTTACATTAATTTGGCAAAATATGAAAATAATAACAGACAGTTTCACAAATAATGAACTTCAAATCACTCGGCGGTGATTTGAGGACTTTGCTTCAGATATTTCTAAAAATATCTGCACTGATTTATGAGAGAGAGGTGAGTTTAAGAGTAAATTGAGATTTATCTTACAGAGGAAATATGTGAGGGAAGTTTAATCTGTTTAACCAGAAATTGCACGCTCCGTCCGATCTCAGCTTCTCACGGTACACTTGGTCAAAATAGAACCATCTACCTGTTGATGATGAATCAGCGTCGGAGTAGTTCCTTTCTGACTCGTTTCAGCGTCTCCGTCGAGAACTACCAAACCTTCAGAGAGTCGTGCGTAGTTAGCTCAAAACAGAATTATAATCCCAAAAACCTCTGGATTCTTCATTGCTCTCTTGGACTCTTCATTGCTCTGAAACTTTCAGAACCGGCTGCACTCTCAATCTAACATGAACTGGGAAGTTGCCACATTTTATTTGGGTCGACTTCCTGTTCAATTTAGAGCTTTCTGATTCGTGGAAGGACCAGAAAGAGGAGTGGTTTTGACGTAAGGTGTTTATCAACAGTCGAGGTCAGAGAATGAAATTTGTTTTCACATACAGAAAAGATTATTGCAGCAACAGCAGACTTCGTGGAGTCAACTCTTGGTAATCTTCTGAAAAAGTTTAAACATGACATTTTTCTCGGTAAACATTTTAGTTGACCGAAAACCAACCTTTCACATACTTACGACTTGACTCATTTCAGACAGAAAATCAAGGAATGCTTATTCAGGTGATTTCTTCTTGGAATGAGGAATAAAAATCATTACTTACTGTTTATGTAAAATAAAAATGAGTAGTTCTTTTCAACCTGTAAAGCATTGAGTGAACTAACACAATTTGATTATCAAAACATTTGTAAGACAGTAATGATTATAGAGGATTGTCTTTTCTGCTTGATTAATTCAAGAAAGAAAGTTCATCAGATGGCTCAGACTTATTCAAATCAATGAAAATAACAGTCTCTGTCCATCTGGTAGATTTGAGGTCATCTGGTTCACTACAGTCCCCCCTTTGGAAATCATCACCTGTCCATGGGGATGAATTCCAACCGTGAACTTAGACCTTCAAATGTCCTTGAGCTTGATGTAATCCCGCAAGCAAGACCAAAGTCAGAAGTAATCCTTCAAGGAAGACCAAAGTCAGAAGTAATCCAGCAAGGAAACAAAGTCAAGGTAATTCCACAATGTTCTTGGTATTCCATTGTGTTTATTATAATCCCATATCGTCTCGATAATCCCATTGTAGCAATGCTTTAACCCCTTGGAAACAGAGTCTGTAATCCATTGGAAAAAGTCATATAATCCACAACGGTAAATCCACAGCGATTGGAAGTGTTGATTAATCAGCATACAGAGGGGTACCCTTGGATTGAACTGAAGAAGCGGCCACTGGATGAAGAGTTGAGACCAACGTCAGGATTGCAGGTCGCCTCCAGCGAAGGTTGTCTCCAGCGACGTCCAGCCTGTGCCGTTCTGGTTCAATGTGTCATGCAATTATGTGGTTTAAGGTGGGCTTATGAAGGGGATTTTACATAAGG